TGGCATGAAGAAATGCACAGAGCGATTAGGTAGAATAGGTGTCTCCCGTCTTCCAGGTTGGGGTCCGAAAGACTCTGCAACTGGTTGGTTGAAGACATTGAAAGATATGGCAGCAAACCGTCAGCAGTGGCGTTTTTGTTGTCATTTTTTATCGAGTCAGAATGCTTGGAAAGCCATGTATGCACTCTTAGATTGTGTACTCTGTGTGTTGACCATAGATGTTCACTTTCTTTGCCTCCCTCCAATTAGTCCTAATCCCTCGCCACCCTGTGCTCTGTCGCTTAATTTGTGTACACTGCGTGCTGCTCTTGACATTCTAATCATCATTTTGCTATTTTATCCAAATGGGCNCAAATGGGCGACCAAAAGACAGCAACCAAAACCGGCGCACGAAAGTGCATGGTTGATGATTGTAAGAACTGAAATGAACACTGTGTGCTTGGCAGCGATCACTGAAGGTTACTTAACCGTATCTTGCAGTTCGATGGTTTTTTTGTTACACACCTAGGTGTGATGAACCGCAGACGGGGTAAACCCCATAGTCACGAAGACTTGCTGTTCAGTGGCTGGAATCGGCAACCTAAGCCCCGGAACTTGGAGTGGCGAACCACATAAGGCCCCAATAGGTTAGGCGTGGTATTGAATCGGACGACAGCAGAGCTGCCTACCACCAAATGATGATAACAGCGACTAAATCACTCTACCACCACCACCCACCGGTGGTGCATGCAGGGCCTATGGAATGCATCAGGCAAAGTGAAATTAGGCAATAAAGCACATGTTTATTAAAATGCATATATAATTATGGAAGGCAAGCGTAATCACGAAAGTTTTCATGCATATGCACGGGTCAACAAAAATACTAAAGTGTAAGTTGGCACCTTGGAGACATAAAGCCGTCCGCCAACAACAGTGTTGCAAAAGAAAATCTGCGGTCGCTCGATATGCGTAAAGCAGAGCGACAGGATGGAATGCATTCTACCACAACTCAGCAACCGATCGGGTTTTTCCTACATCCGGTTGCTTTCTAGTTGCTGAACGATGCGCAATCCCAACACCAGCAACACCATGAGCTTTGGATGTTGAATCGCCTGACACACGAAGAGCGAAGCGTGAGGATAAGCTCGAATTTGGAGATTGCAAGGTAATGATTGAAGTAGGGTCTTATATGCGTGTTTCAGAGACAACATACATCTAAATTGAAAGTTTCAAGGGCTCTATCTAAGACAGCCTTTTGAACGATCCGATAGTGTATGAACATTGAATGCGGCTAGGTGAAAAGATTTTGGTTTCAAAAGTCTGATAGCTTCTGGTTAGTTGGCCTTACTAGTTGAACGATGAGTGATATCCCATGGGTGGCACAACCAGGTTGGGAGCGAGAGAAAGAACAAGATAAATGGGAAAGAGATTTTTCCAAATGGGTGCCTAAGACTTTGAGGCACGATTCATGCCACGCGGCAGCCCACACCAACGAAGGAACTTTTCTCTGGGAACTCTAACCGGAGACTTTGACTCAAAAGTCTTACTGACAAGGCAGTGGGTCGTAGATCCAATGAGGGAGCGTGACCGAGGCATCCGTGTGGGAGCTTTTAGAGGCCTGCCACGCAAGGCCTTTGGGTTTCGATTGTGTTATTCGTTGGTGCGTTGCTTATCGGTTTGCTGGTGCGCTGCTTGTCGGTTCGCTTGGCAGCGATCAGTGAAGCTCGCTTCACCGTATCTCGCTGTACGATGATGATGTTCGCTGTTCGGGATTGACCCTTAGCCTCGTGCACCCAATGAGACACCGAATGTGGAGGGGACAGCACTTTGTTGGCTGCGAGCTGCCCAGCTTGGGCGGGCGGTAGCTGTCCAGTGAGGTGCGAAGACTTCTACCACTGTCACGGGGAAGCCCCAGGTACCCCGCTCATACATCCACCTAACGGGTGATTTTGACTGGTAATCAGCTCCGCTCCGTTTCTTTGCTGGATTGATCTTTGCAGGGGTAGGAGTGGATAGTCAAAGGAAGCCAAGAGGTGCCCGAGCGGCTGGCCTTGTGAGACTGAGCTTTGCCTGGCCTCTACCCATTGACCTTTCGGGTATAATTAGATATACGGCTGAGAAACCATCCTGAATAGCTCGCAGGTTCATGGAATCATAAAAGGTATGACACCACGTCAAGGTGCAGTCTCGTCGTGATGGAGCAAAGTGATCTAAGGGTACCGGAGGGATTTCTCCAGTAGAGTTCAGTACAGGACTTCAAAGAATGACTGAATGACTGGATGAATCATAGCGCAGGGCATACTGTGATAATCAGAATAGTACTGAACGTAGAAATATGAGTACCCGTGCCGTAATGCTCAGAACGGGATTGCCTCCAACCCGAACTGCGGACACCAATGAAATACACGAGGAATTGATGCCAGCAAATGCTTATGTTTATTGATAGAGGTAGGACATATTTTATAGAAGGTAATAGTCCATATGATTGGTTGAACGACTGTCCTCCAATCACGTAACCGTTTGCACCGACGCATCATATGTACTAACTCGGACATCATGTTCGCCCGGTGTACCACTGGCCGAGCTTCCTGAACTGTGATTGAATGACATGAAACTGCACCTAGTCGTGCATGGATTGCGGT